AAATAAAACAGGGAAGCACCTGTGGCTCAGTGAGTAGGGCGCCAGCCCCATATACCAAGGGTGGCAGGTTCGAACCCGGTCCCAGCCAAACTTTAACAAAAAACTAGCTGGGCATTGTGGCAGGTGCCTGTAGTCCCAGCTACTCGGGAAGCTGAGGCAAGAGAACTGCCTAAGCCCAAGAGCTGGAGGTTGCTGTGAGCTGTGATGTCATGGCACTCTACCGAGGGCGACAAAGTGAGACTCTGTCTCTAAAAAGATTAAAAAAAACACACACACAAAAGAAAATAATAAAATGGAATGAAATGGAATGGAATAGAATAGAATAGATCTTCTGACCACCCTCCCTCTCTTCTCCACACAGGAAGCCATCACTTCGTCTCTCTGCTCTTTATACCAAACTCCTCCAGGAGTTTATGTTCACTGTCTCCAGGGCCCCTCATTCACACTGAACTAAACCCCTGAGAATCAGGTCCTTGCCAGTTCACCGAAACTGCTCTCTCATCATGGGCACCATGAATTGAGATCATCCACGACTTTGAGAACCAATAGTCAGTTCTCAGCCTCCACCAATCAGCAGCATCTAATACAGCTGATCACTCTCACCTGCAGCTTCCAGCCCCCACACTCCAGGTTTCCTGCTGCAGTGTGGGTTAGCGCCTCCCTTTCCTTCACACCTCACATCTAACGCCTCAGGAAGTCCTGTGTGTTCTACCTTCAAAATGTTACTGGCATGGAACTGCTCTCTCCAGCTCCTCCACCACCACCCTGGCCACTGTCTCATCCACCAGAATCACTGCAATAAATTCCCAACAGTCTCCTTCCTTCAGCTCTGCCACTGAAACACTGTTCTTGACACAGGAAGCAGAGTGAGGTTGCTAATGTGTTCACTCAGATCAGGAAGCTCCTTGGCCAGAGCAGGGCCCAGCACCATCTGCCTCCTCGGTTTCCCCCTTGCTTATTCTGGCCTCCTCTTCACTCCAAACTCTCCAGGCCCATTCCCACCTGAGGGCTTTTGCACAGCTGTCCTTTTTGCCAGGAATGCTCTCACTGCAGACTTCCACAAGCAAACTGCTTCATCTCCCACAAACCCTGGCCCTGACACCTTGTCCGTAAGATCATTCCACTTAACACTGAACACTCCTGCTTCCTCTAGTCCCGCTCTATGTTTTTTTCTGCAGCACTTATCAGCTGTTAACATTCCAGGTGAGTTATTTATCTGGGATGCTTACTGCTATGGCTCACTCTCCTCCTGGTAGGATGCAAGCACCAAACAGGCAAAGACATTTTGTCTGTGCTAAGCCCCAGGCGTCTCAAAGAGCCTGGCTCAGAGTAGGCCCCAAATGAATACTTACTGAAATAATAATAATAACATTATTGCTCTTGTTGTTACATTTTTGTTTATCATACTGGTCCAACCCACCTTTACAAGTTTACAGTCCTTTCTTTTAAAAGCCAATATATTGTTTGCC